CGATCTCTGCTTCCGGGAACAACACCGTTTTATCAGAGAATGTTTGATCCAGTCATTTCTTTCCCACTGTTGACTACAAGGAAATACTTCCAACTCGATTTCTCACCGGTGCTTGCCCTTGACAGTCTAATAAGAGTATGTAGTGCCAGGTAAGAACTATTCAAGAACATATTACAGAGAATACAGTGATTATGAATCCAATAAGGCAAACAGATGTTGCAAGTCATAGCAACATGAGAGAAGATGCAAACCCAAAAATTGGGTAGAAAAGTTCGTGCCTGTGAATAAATAAAACAAGTAATATCAATCCTATAACACTTTATTACTAGTGTGAATTTGTTTCACACGGCCGGAAAGAAAACCAGGTTGCTGAAACAAGCGTCAATAAAGGTCATCAGCGAAATTAACGAAATCAAAGACAAAATGGGCGTACCAGTTTAATTGGATGTTCTAAGACCCTGAAGATGACTTCTGAACCCAAACTTGTTTCTACAAGTAAAAAGAGAGAGAAAAAGAACACACACACAACAATCAAAGGTGAGCAATATATAACAACTATTACTGCTGATTCAGCACAAAATTTGCAAACCTCATGGAATGAGCTAGCAGCTCCTCTTTTGAAAGACTTTCCGTCCCTCAATATAATAGACCCATCATCCTTGGTATCATGGGCTGTTGTATGCTGAGCAAATCTCTACTGGAACCTGTTGAACGTATCACCAACAAGGCATTCTAGTATTCATGTGAGCAATACCGAATCAATCAATTATAGATAGATTGATAGTCTGATAGACTAATCATTTTCTGACGGAATGTTACGTCCTCTACTTCCATTAGGTATGCCGCCTTTCATTTCTCCTTGGATAACTAGAAGTTCATATGCAGAAGTATAGTAAATTAGCTTTCCTCATTTTTTTGCAAATTCAGTCCGAACAACTTGATAAAATAACTGTAACCCAAGCCTATTGTTACTTGTAAACACCAGTTATTCATGTGTAGAAGCATTAATACCTTGACTGGGATTACGAGTGGGCTGGGCAGATTGTGACACGGAGGGTGTCAAGTGCTCCTCACTAGCTTGTGGAACTTCAGAACGAAGAAGAGGGGCCCATACACCACGATCAGGTCTATCCTTATTTCTTGTACTTTTTTCATGCTTCTTCTTGCTTCCAAAACCTAAACCATGCGGTGCCTTTTTCATGAACTTGTTATTTGAAACTCTTTTTGTATCAACACCAGATTTCAGTGCAGAAATTTAATTTGAAACATGACCATTACCCAATCGTGCATTCGTGAGCCAGGAAGGTCTCTTGATATTGTCCAGACTCATAGTTTCATTTTTATGCTGAGGCTGGACCGCTGCAGAAGATCGATTTTGGCTCGATTCATTACTCAAAAAGTATGCTCCTTATCAACTTTCCACAATCCTCGTGTCGCTGACGTTGTCTCAGAGCAATTGAACCAGATGAAGTTGCTACAGGAGATGGTGCACCCTGCAACTCAGGTTTACCCTCCGATGCCTAGTAAATGTAAAGATCATCATAATTTGCATCCAAAAATTTGAAGGAAAAATATAATAAAATACCCCAGCTCTACAAGTACATAGAAAACACATCTCAATGAAGTATAACAAAACTTGAATATAGCTAACAACGGTTATGTAAGTGGAAAGGAGACAACAAAAGGCAAATGAGGAGCCCTCCGATCTTTTGGTTTTAGGAGAAGGATCTTTTGCTTCTCAGAATCAGCAGCAAAATAGATTCCAATTACAGGACCATCAATGCCACAGACTGTAATGCAACTAATTAAGCCAAAATATGGAGGGATAAATGACAAGGACAAGTTAAAAACCAAAACAACCTGCAACCTAAGGATTCTAATATATCACCAACTTCTAGTCATATGAAAGATGATAATCCAAATAACAGCAAAGAGAAAGAATAAACACACAACTTAATTACACCGCTCACGCACATGCTATAAAAGAGCACATAAAATGACATGATTCATTTGCACTAACGCCAGTATAATAAATAATTACATGTAAACAAAAGGTCAACATTATTCCACACCTTCATCCATGCTGCTTAAGATATATAGATGAGTTTTTAAAGACGAATACAAGTAGTCTAACATATGAACTCAGGTTGAGCTGAAGCTCCATCATGGTGGCGTCAATTGAGGAAACTTAGTCTGTTCCTTTTCAATGTTCCATGGGTCGTCTGTATTTGTAAATGGTGTAAAAGAAACTTGGGGATAAGACCCCATATTCTTGCTATCAGGGATCGACTGGAGTTTTCTGAAAAATTTACAATTAGCTTCACTGAAACACATTCATGAAAATATGCTAAGTTTTCTAGCTACACATTATGGGATATGTGCCAGAACAAAACAAGACAGATGTTTTCAGCAATTTCAAAAAGTCAGAAATTTATATAGATTTAATCCAAAACAAAAAGTCACAACGAGAACACAAAAAGCTTTGATGCAAATGCTAATAAAGCTAGCAGTTTATAAGCACTCCGCAAAGAGTAATTCTCACCAGTTCCATTCTCTCTTATTTCTTTAGCAAAAGAAGTCACCGATTGATCCTCTTTCTTGGATGCTACCAAAGAATTGGACTTCTTTGCACCTTTTGCACCATCTTTTAGAATATACTGCAAATGAAACAAGTTCTCGTTCAATGAAAATAGAAACTATTAACCTTCAAAACTTGCACATGCACACCTTAAGTAACAAATAATCATGGGCAAAAATCATTTAAAAATCCATTAAAAAAGGCCGTCCCTTTCATCTGTTATATGGAGCATTTATGACTATGCTAAGCTTCAAGTGCCTAATATAAAACTTTAAATCATCACCTTAAGGCTTTTGCTAATGGAAAAACTTCCAACCCAATGATTACACTGCAAGGTAAGGAAGTGCTTAAGAAACATAATCATTGGCTTAAATTTTTTGAATGTTACCTCTTCCTGTCCTTCCTACCAAACAAAGCCTAAATCTTTGATTTTTGGGGATTAACCAAACCTTCCTAAGACAATATCCTACAGGCGTCATCCAAAGGAATCTTAAGACCCTTCAAATTACAGATACCAGCCCATTTTCACATCTTACTCCACCCTGCGTGCCTCCTTAAGGTGCAAACCCTAGCATGTAAGGAGAATAAAGAAAATCTATCAACTAAAACAGAGAGCCACAATTATAAAGCAGATGATCCAGATAAATAAGAGCCAAGTTCTTGTACAAATACAAGGCCTCTCATTCACCAGTAGGTTGACTAGAAAAAAAGGTTACAACGCACTTTTTTTTTCACAAGTACTGAAAGGTTCTCTCCAAGTAGAGAGCACCATATGTTAAAATATCCAGCAATACAATAAATAAGAAATCTATCGACTTTGAGACATTTTTCTTCTCAGAGCCACGCTTGCTACTTGATCCAGGCTTGCCTCTAGATGCAGCGGCAGCTTTTTTGCCAGCCTTTCTTAGAGTGATTGACCCCTGTCACCAAAACAAAGTGGTCACTTAAGGATGACTTTTTAATTCATCTTTTGTTTCTTTTACCTTTTTCTAGGCCAAAGTAGGATCTAAAGGAAATAGTGACCAAGGACAGCATCATGTAACATGTTGAATTGAAACATGTATGACTAAGCCTCTCAGACTGTTGGGCAATTTCTGGTCAAATTGCATCCTAATAATTCTTGAGGAAATTCACCAGGGAAAGGAAACCACGCAAATACCTTCTTCAGTCCTCAACATGTCCATCATGTTTTCATGATGTTCAATGAACTAATAACAAAATAGGTAATAGGAAGTCGATAGCATACGATGCCTTAAAGGTCATATAAACAGGAAAAATGGCACCATGATGGTACAGAATTACACCCTTTCCCAAAGTGAAATACCTGAGCTCCACTCTCAGCAGCTTGGCTCTGACGTACAAATTCCATTAGTGGAGTAATGACTGGGGTTCCTTTGGGAGCGCCTAAGAAAAACAAAATGGGACCAGAGTGATAATATTCAGATTAGGGTGAAAAAAAACCCATAACTAGAATTCACTTTTTTTATCATTCGAACATAACTACCAGATAGTTCTGCTTCTTTTCTTTCCAACTGAATCTCAGCACTGGGAAGATTCTCAACAGGTTTTGCAATCATTTTGAGGAACTCCAGATAATCAGGGTCTAGTTTCATAAAAGAAAAATAATAGTCAGTACAAGATAACAAATTATAGGAGTCAACTCAATGTTAATGCAAAAGCTTCCTATTAAATAATATCCCTAAAGATGAAATCCTTTTCATTGAAAATAATGCACCTTTGAAAATGGTCCCTTCACAAGCATCCTTTTTACTGTCTGGCTTTGCGACCTGCTGTGAAGGAGCATATTCAACAAAGGCTTTAAATTGAGTACCAGGAATAAGTGGCATCCAACAAATATTTTAGTGTAAGGTGCAACATATTATGGGTACATTTAAGTTAAAGAAGAAGACATTAGCAATTTGCAATCTAATTTGTTAAAACGCTAACAAAATCCGTATCATAAATAATCAGAATTTAACAATAAAATACCCTGCTGATTAACAAATACATGTTCACCGAAGAACTCAGCAAAATCGAAGACATCTTCTGGCCTCTTGAAGTTTATGTAGGCTAGAGAGTATCTCTGATGCTTATGGCTGCAAAAGTGTTTTGAGAACCAAAAATAATTATCAAAGATAACAACAGGACTGCATACTAAAGAAATTCTCAATAAGATTATAGAAGCTTTCTTTATTATATCTACAGAATCGATCATCATAATAATTCCTTCCCACTTCATGCAGTTTTCCGGTAAGCAAAGAAATGGAACGTCAAACGGAAACCCTGGTCTAAGAAATTACATACACAAATAACCTTCCATTGCCGATGCTCCCAGGTGAAAGCCATATATCCTAACCACTGGACGACACAATGGCTTTAATATTTATTAATTATGGAAAATAACTATATACTTCCAATCAATTGAGGCTAATAACGATTTATATAGCAAACTATAATGTGTAGCTACAATGATGAGCAGTTGTTACTATAAAGGTGACATGCAAATGTTAAAGTTCCAGAATTAAAAGAGAAATTCAATCCTTTCTGCAGCAGGGTTTGAGTCTGCAACACTTGTTTCCTTCCACAGAAAAATGGACTATCTGATCCTCGATGTGTCGCCAAGATGAACCAGCCCTTGAACCTGATGACCAAGCATTATACAAAGCTTTTGAATCTTGAATTGATAACCCATTATCACTAAGATCTAACAACTGCAACCGTTTAGATGTTCCGATGGCAACAGAAAGCCCTTGAATGAGGTTGCACTCTAGAGTTGAGTTTCTTTGGCACGATGCAGCAGTTTCTCCCTTTGTCTCGTCATCTTTGCTATCAGTGACTTCAAGCATATCGCAGTTGGTGTCAATTTCACCATCAGAAACTGCTTGGTTTGGCTGTAAGGATTCCGAACTCATGTTTGTTGGTTTGTCATATTTTATAACCAACTGTTTATCCATATCAGCATTATGAGCAAGATTGAGCTCCTCCAGAGATTCATTCTCTGTGAGGAAAACCAACTTAGCAATTAGAATATTAGATGTTGATAAAAAAAACATCAAAAATCATACTGGAATTGGTAATATAACCTGCCAGTGCCTGAACTATTTGAAGAATCCCAGCCATCCCCAGTTGACACTTGTTCAGGTTCAGAACTTTTAGACAACATTGAGGGTTCATAAGCAGTGATGCTAATGCATTGCCACCCTGTTTTCATAGCACCAGTCATATTCAACACAAAGTATTCTTAAATTCAAATTCAGGGTTTCTAGGCTGAAGAAAAGAATATATATAGCACAGAGCTGATCTGATACAAGACAAACCTCTTGCATAATGGGATTTCCTTGAAGATTCAACTCAAGAATGCCACTAATGAACATAACATTAGTGTTAAGTTCAGAAATGTAAGTACATGTTACTCCACAAAAAGACAAATCAAGTTTCAAAGGCTCCTCAATCGAACTTAATAACAAGTGAGTCAATCCAAGTGCTCCATCCTATAAATGGCATCAGAAGAGGAAGAAAATTAACTGATACACTCAAAGCAAACTAATATTAATGTAAAAAAACATGGTGACATGAAAACTGCTTACAGTTCCTATACCAGTGCCCTCAAGCATCAGTCGTGATAAACATGAGGTTTTAGCTAGGTGACAAAGGCCATCAACAACAGTCTTGTTTAGTTTTAAGCCATTTAGACTAAGTTCTGAAAACCTGGAGGAAAAAAAGGAACAAGCATGAAGCTTAGGTGTTTCTCCAATTAAAAGTACTTAAAGAAAGACGAGAAAAGTGTACTGTTTATTGTAAACCTCTTCAAAGTAGCAAGTTTGCCCAATAAAGAACTTATCGCATTCCCAGATACAGGATTGTTATGCCCTACCACAAACAGTGATGCTTAGAGAACTTCCCATAAACAAATAAGGAATTGAATTGAACTATTCATTGATTTGGTAAGCATACCAATAAAAAGTTGTGATAGTACAGAATCAGTATCTAGTGCATCAGCAACCTTTTGAACTGTTCTAGAAGTAATGGAGCACCTCTCTACATTCAAGCTATACAGGGCTAAAGATAAAAAGAGGCATAAGCTGATATACTAGAGCAAAACACAATTATTCCAAAGGAAATATGCCATTACTACATGTAACAGTTGGGATCGCAATTTACCTCTGCACTTTTCTATGATGGTTAAAAGATATGATCCACATGCATCAGTGAGACGATTACAAGAGATATTAAGCACTTCAAGTCGCGTGAACAGCACAGGGCACTCACAAATCTAATAATGAGGGAAATTTAAACATGTTAGGATGCCAAAAGGAGGTGTGGGCTAACTGCCACAAGAGAGAATAAGAAGTATATCTCTGAGGGGGGGAAAATAAGTTCTTGCAATATTTAAGAAAATTAAATATTTTCTTAAAAGAGTGTATTCAAATATATGGGATAATGTCACAAATGGTCCCAGCAGTTCATCATGCACCAACGTCGGGAAAAGAAAATTAAAAGAGTGTGTTCAAATATATGGGATAATGTCACAAATGGTCCCAGGAGTTCATCAAATGTTCCTTGTTACTTTAAGTCTATTTTGGTACTTCTACTTTAATTTTGTGTTAATTTCGGACCCATAATTAAAACTGTTAAAATTTTAAATGATATGGCTTTTCTTTCCTATGATAAGAGCAACGTGGGAAATATAAATGCCACGCCATATTTAAATGTCAGCATAACAATTTTGATTTTCTTTTCTAGTTTTCCCTTTCTTTCTTTCATTTCCCCCCTTCCTCCTGATTCTCCCTCTCATCTCAACATTTTCAGGCTTAATCTGTCCTACCAATGCCAAATTCGACCTCAAATAGATAATACGGAGAGATCAAGAGAGGAGAGAAAAGAAATAAAAGATTCTCATAAATAATTCCTTTTTATATTCTTTAAAAATTCGGGTATTTATCACATATTTAATCTGTGTATTTTTAAAAATATCTTTTTTAGAAAAAGTTCCACGTTAATGCACAATCTGATAATACAATTAGTGCATTGAAATTTTATTGAAGCAGATAACTGCATTGTAAAATATTTGATAAACTTCAAGTCATTTATGACATTATCACAATATATATTGAACCAATACAAGAAGAGGAACAATATCAAAGAAATGGTGTTTCTTTTCAAAAGAGTGAAAAGAAAATATGAAACTCTCAATTGCGGAGAAAATATGCTTATAACAGAGGCTACCTACCTGGAATAAAGCAGTTGAACCAAATCTATTGCAATGCAAGTCTAAAGTCAAATCACCATATGTTTGGTTCGATGATGAAAAAAACTGCTGGAGTTTCTCCATTGTTCCATTTCCTGGAATAGAACCATCAAATGGACCACTAAGTATATAAAAGAAACGCAGGTTTATTCATTTTAAGAAAAGCTAGGACTTCACATGATATTAACAACTTGTCATGTGAACAAAACTTCAAAACTATTTGGAAGATGGAACAGAAATGGGATATTATCACCTAACGCGTTGTGAGAAAGATCTAGCATTGCAACCCCTGTGTGTGTATGCAAGGCATTCAACAATGGAATTACTGATATATCTAGCAGTCCACAATCAGACGCGTTGACTTCATCCTCTATCTGGTAAACAGAGAGTAGAAAATAGAATAAAACCATTTAGGCTTCCCAGTGGTAATGTAACAGTCTTACCATGCAGCAGTTTCTTGAATAAGTAACATTACGAAATATAGCTCAGCAACAAACTACTGTTTAATCTTCATTCTTACCTCAGAAACATACAATTTTCTAAGCAACTTCATACTCGGTGTCTCGTGTAATTCTTTGCAGCTGTTAATATACAGCTTCACCAAGTGCTTTTGGACCCACCCTGTGAAGATTAATAAGATTTTACATCACTCGGAAAGAAGTTCAAATAAGGAAAAAGTTATACTGAGATTGTAATATTGAAAATAACATGCACAGATTAAGCTGGCTAACTATTTCTATTTGAAAATGTTCAAGAAGTCTATGGAATCATTCATCTTGAACGTTTGTTGACTGTAGAACATTAAGATCATAACTCAGCTAGGTGAAAATGGTATAAATGATCTTTATTCAGAAACATATCAAAGAAGGATGCCCAAGATTAACCATTTGATAGAGATTAACAATACAGGACTAAAAATCTAAAGGACTTTTCCACGCTAAAATGGTGGAATTCTATTCAGATAACTTGATTGAAACTACTTCACAGGAGATAGTGTTACCAATGTGACACAAACATGAATGAAACACACTTCAAAACTGAAATAATTATTTTATGCTTTAAAGGCAAAAGCATCATAATTCATACAACAGTAAATAAGGCTGCATGAACTATATGAAAAGATGAGATGAGGTCGTTGCTTCAGATGACAAAAACCAATTGCAATACATACCACTGGTCAGCACATCAACCGGAACCTTCCTCAGATGATTCTTAAGAGAATCAAAGTTTTCAAAGGATTCTAGAGGTCTTCCGCCACATTCCATGTTTTGAATGATAGGCAACAGACCTAATAAGACAATTAACTTAACAGTTAGCGATCTGGGAAGAATAGAACATAATTGAATAAGAGGAACAATGCATTGATTATGACCAATGATGAGTAGAGCGAAAAGAAGTAATGGTAGGTAGCAATCTCAAGAACATTTCAACCCCACACATACATACATATGTACATGCATGCATGCATACAACTAGAAACTTTATAACCAAAACAATGCTTGATAATAAGCAATAAGTGCATGTACTGTTATGGTGTTCTTAAGTACATCTCCAAACACAAACATTTCTTTACCTATGATTTTCAATACTAAGAAGAGTTATATGACTCCTCATTGGGACCATTTGGAGGGGCTTCAACCCTAAGCATTAAAGCCAGTTCTATTACATTTCACAGGCAAGCAACAACCAGCATATCATACAAGCCATAATCTCTGTAAAAGTACTGCTTCCTTCCTCCAAATAAACAAATACCGGAGAGAATGAGACAACAAATATTTGACTAGATTTTAGAGCTGGTGGTTTGTTCAATCTTGATTCTTGAAGCACTCTAATGTCCTTTCTTATTTTCAGTTACTGAAGAAACTTAAGGATTGCTAGTTTGCTACAGTTCTTCACCATACTTGCAACTGAACTGTAACAAGTAGCTTTGCCAATCTAGATACCTAATACTTTCTAACAAACTATTTGCTCACCCACCCAAAATTGTTAAAATAAGAAACTAGTAAATTTTGTCAATTAGACCCCACCTTTGGAACTCTTCTCTGCAGGAAGCTGCAAATAGTATAAACAAGCTAGTTCAACCTTCAAAGACTCAATGCATATATTTTCCCCATCCACAAATGAGCTCACTGACACATTTATTATGTTGTCATCTATTTTGAATGCTATGCAACCCTGCAATTAGTACAACAGAAAAAAATTAGCAGAGTAAGCAAACCACAGAATTCAAAAATGCATAAGACCATTAAGGCCAACTGTGCTTCACAACAATGCACATGAACAGTTACAGGTTTTAAGAACCAATTTTACATTAGATCATTGAAATTCAATTTTCCACACCCATTATTAGCTCTTTAGTTTAAGAAGTTAAATAATTAGCCAAGGATTTCAGAAGGAATGATCAAACACTTCATCTTTATTGACAAACAAATGACAGAAAACTGAATAGGCAATGCTAGCTACTCCTTTTTTACATTTTACACTTCCCCTAACAACGACAACAAATAAGTCAAAAGCAGACCAAAGTAAGCTATATATAAGAAAAATGGGAAATGCTTACATCAAACTCATTATCAGTAGCATGCAATTTATGATAAGGAGAATCATGTCCATGCAATAAGTTTTCAGAAGCATTGATGTCACATTTCAAAGTGCTATCAGCATAACTGGAACCAATAACGACATCAGCATCGCTCAGAGATCTGATAACTTTTCCATTTGAAACAGTTCTGGGGGATTTGTATGAACGGGTGCTTTCTTCAATATTGACGAGATTGCAGGACCTGCTGGGACTTCTGGAAGCAACAGGTAATGTATCCTGCAAACCGAAAGGATCAAGCAAATGTGCAACAACTTGACAAGGTTAACAATATTCTTTGGGGCTTCAGTTGCTTGTATACCTGTAATTTATTTTCAGAACTTGCTGAAATATTTTTCCTCGTAACTGCAGTCAGGTAAAAACTACATCTGAGTTATCACTTAAACTTTTAACAGGAACCCAATAAAATTCATATCTAAAATACACTAACATTCATCTGAAACAGCAACTTCAACTGAGCATTTATGCAATCTTCTTGCATCATCAAGTAAATCACCTTCATCATCTGAAAGGAATAGACGAACACGTTTATGTCTAACAACTGTTTTCTGATTACTTGTTGGTTTAGGCAAACCTTCCGGAAGAGTGTCATCCAGTTCCATAGAAATATTTTTATTTACTGTGTGAGCTGTTTTACTTTTGCATGATCTTTTTCGGGGTTTGATGAGTGAAATTAGAGGTAAATCATCATTTGACTCTCCACTAGCTGCTAAAGGCGTTGAACTTTTAGAACTGGAACTACACAAAGCCTCCAAGTATGTATTAGGCATGTCATCTGAGAAATGATCATCCCCTTCTGTGTCTGTTTCAGAGCAGAAATCTGTTGCAATGTATTTTGCATCAAGCTCCTCAACTTTTGACTGCTTCAATTTGTCAATTTCAAGTTGCAACCTCCTAAGAATGAAGCTTTCATCAGCAACAAAAAAACAATGTTGACAACATGAACCTATAGTCTGTTTCAGAGCAGAATCTGTTGCAATGTATTTTGCATCAAGCTCCTCAACTTTTGACTGCTTCAATTTGTCAATTTCAAGTTGCAACCTCCTAAGAATGAAGCTTTCATCAGCAACAAAAAAACAATGTTGACAACATCATGAACCTATATTGAACCCTCAAAATCTTAAAAGTCCAAACAAATTACCTTTAGAACATATTAACTTCAGTTTTACCAGTCATAAAAGTTAAATGCAAGCAGCTATCTTATCAGGACTCATGTAAACAAATTTACCTGGCCTCTTCAACATTATCAAATCTTATCATGTGGCTATAGTGCATATTCTCGAGTGCAGAAAGCTGAATGGAAGTAAGTTTAGCTTCAGCAGCAATCCTGCAGTAGCGACAACAAAACAAAATTAAACTTTCAAATGTAAAACACAAGGAGGTAACAAGGCTGAATTTAAAAAAAAATGACCTGGCATGCATGACACTGATTTGAAATATTCGACAATCAACACCTAAAGTTAATAGCCAAAGCATCAACAGCAAAGGAACAATAGTTGCATCCTTTGGTTGCACTAATAATATTTAGCATTTTTTAGATAACTTCCCACAGAAATGATCATCCCTTCTGTGTCTGTTTCAGAGCAGAAATCTGTTGCAATGTATTTGCATCAAGCTCCTCAACTTTGACTGCTTCAATTTGTCAATTTCAAGTTGCAACCTCCTAAGAATGAAGCTTTCATCAGCAACAAAAAAACAATGTTGACAACATCATGAACCTATATTGAACCCTCAAAATCTTAAAAGTCCAAACAAATTACCTTTAGAACATATTAACTTCAGTTTTACCAGTCATAAAAGTTAAATGCAAGCAGCTATCTTATCAGGACCCATGTAAACAAATTTACCTGGCCTCTTCAACATTATCAAATCTTATCATGTGGCTATAGTGCATATTCTCGAGTGCAGAAAGCTGAATGGAAGTAAGTTTAGCTTCAGCAGCAATCCTGCAGTAGCGACAACAAAACAAAATTAAACTTTCAAATGTAAAACACAAGGAGGTAACAAGGCTGAATTTAGAAAAAAAATGACCTGGCATGCATGACACTGATTTGAAATATTCGACAATCAACACCTAAAGTTAATAGCCAAAGCATCAACAGCAAAGGAACAATAGTTGCATCCTTTGGTTGCACTAATAATATTTAGCATTTTTTAGATAACTTCCCAACATGAAAGATGGTGCTCAGAAATGCAAGTTCACTCCAGGTGAGCAATCTCTAGCAAAAAGTATATGCAATTCCCGTTGTCAAAAGTCCATGATAAAAGACATAATCATGAACAAGGAATAGGCTACAAAACCCTACCCTAAATCAGGACAAATACTACATTTTGTAATTGGATTACCAAGGTCATTTACAACTTAAAAATGTAAATTACTTGTTACTTTTCAGCATAAAACAGATCATAAAACTAAATCAAGCTCACCTCCAGAATTCTGAATGGCTTAGATTATCAAGTTGAACAAATAAAAAATATAAAGAATAAAAAATCAATTATATATCAACAGATCATAAAACTAATATCAACTTCACCTCCAAATTTTTTATTGCCTTGTATCCTTCCCAACTTTTTTTGTACCATTTAATGGCTTTGCTGAAGTCCCTAAGCTTCTGATATGATTCTCCAACAACTAAAAATGCATCAGTAAGCTTTTCTTTGTCACATAGTTCACTTGCTATACGCTTCTTCCTTTTTGCAAATTCACGATGCTAAACATAAATTTTCAAAACATTAGCACAACGCTGTTGAATATGCAAGAAGATATTTGTAGCTGTTGCCTACTTTGAAATTCAAAGGCAACATAAAGATAATTCCGGAACATTTTACATCCAGCTAAGATATTAAAAATATTAAAATAAATAAATGAAAAGGTGCTGCCAGAAGCGTACGTGAAAATGTCACTTACTGGAAATTGGATCTTAAGATGAAAACTCTTAATACAATCCAATAATCAGCTTTGGCTCTGATGCTGAAAACTAACTGTTTTGTCCTTTAAAGCATATAAAATAACAATAAGGCAAAAGGTGGCATAGAGATGGCAAACAACCCCATCCATGCTATTTACTACATACAGCTATAAAAAGGAACATTGAAATAGGATCAATCAAACTCCCCAAAATCATTTCCATTTGCAGCATTTTAAGCATAGCAAGTGCGGAGAAAACATTTTTCAGCAAAAACAAGAAGGAAAAACAATGGCAGATCATTTGATTTTAAACCTTATTGATAGCAGAATGCATACCGAGAATTATGTGCAATCCTGTCCAGTTCACAGATTTCAGGGGATATAAAATAATAATGATGATGATTAGATGCTACCTCAAACCGTCTTTTGCAATAGTATGAAACTATGCTTGAAAAGAAACAAAAGCAAGGAAAATTCATGTGCCACGGGTACTAACCTTCAGCCATGCAAAGATCATGGCTGATTTCTCAATCAGACGATCAAGACTTGAATGCTGTTGAAGAAGAAACTTACGCTCATGAGGTGTTTCTTTCGCAATAACCATGTTTCTTTGCAGCTTCTTGAGAGTTTGTTCTTCATTTTTCATTTCATTCATTACATTTATAGCTTCCTTTACTGTCTGAATATTTTGATCAATTTGAGCTGCTAAAGCATCCTCATCTTCCATAGATTTTGCCAAATCAAATGCCTTCTGGTAGCAAAGCATTGCGTCATCATACTTTTGAACCCTATAATGCAACTCACCAAGATTAATGTACCCTTTTGCCTCTCCTTGGAGGTGCTCAATTCTCTTACAAATCATTATGTCGTTTTCAATATGTTCACGTGCTTTGTCCCACCTCCTCAACTCCATATAAGCATTTCCTAGATTGTGATGAAGCCTACTACGTGCATCATCATCCTCAATGACTTCCTCTTCATCACATATCTCCAAACCTTTAGTGAGAAATTTCAATGCTTCATCCAAGTTATCAAGGTCCACTTCAAGCATTCCTATATTATTATGGGCATCAATATACTCTTTGAGAAAAGAAGACTTATTATTAGGGGGGGTTTCCTTCAGAGTCTGAGCAAGCTTCATGGCAGACTTGAAATACTTTTTCGCATTCCGAATCGAGTAATGGTCATCATCAGATTTCAGAAACATTTCATGGTAAGTACGCCCAAGTTGTGTGCTGGCTCTTTGCTGTTCAACAAGATCATTGGCATCCTTGGCAAGTTCCAAATGCTTTTTCTGCAATAAAATAATAATTAGCCATCAATCATAAATACACAAACTAATTTTTAGTTTGTGGTTCCTAGGAGACAGACAAAGCTTTTAGAGACAAAGTGGGAGGAAATTCTCCTCAAACTCTCCAGATTAAAACCTAGTACATCCAAGTTAGAGTTTCGGTTCTAATTATTGGAGCATCCCTTGATAACAACAAACTGAATGCAAACTTATCTTTTTTGTCTAACATTTTTCCATCTAAAGAAGATAATGTGACTAGATCAATCGAAAATTTACATTGTGCTGCTAGTATCCCACCAACTAAACCACACAATTTACTTTATGTTTTCAGCACTTTCTCTCCACCAGGATAGATCACAGTCTAATTCATGCTCCAAAACTTAAATTCCCGTTAAAACTTTACCTAACCACAATTTGATTTCATATTCCACGGCTTCAAATCTCTCCAAAGTCCAAACCCCCATTTAAATTTCAGTAAATAAAAAATACCTGATGCATAGAAAACCAATTACCTCGGTAAAGTCAACAAGCCAACCCCGAAACCACTCTTCTCAACCGACCGGTCAACAAACCAACGAGAAAGGAGAGAAAAGGAAAGGAAACTACCTGATAAATCAAGGCGTCCTTGTAGTGTACCAACCTTAGATAAACTTCACCAAGGGACTGACAAGTGGGGAGCAACTGTTTTTCAGGCAAATACTTGTTCGAAATATCATAGTCGATTCGAAACCACTTGAGTGCCTCCACATACTCTCCTCTATTCTTCAGAATATCTCCGATTACATTTGCCCACCTCGCTTCTTCCTGTCGATTCCCTTCCTCTTTGGCACTCCTGTATGCACGCCTCGCCTTGTTTATCTGTACATCCTCTCCGCGAGCCATCTCAGATGCTGATTGGTGATCTTCGTCCGGAAACTGGTTATGTTAGTGGTGTTTGTCCATGCCAAATAAAAGGGGAACGATGAATTTGGGGAATGTTCTGTTTTTTCGAATAATTTTAGGAGCCAAAAATTCGATCTCCCGCCAAAACCTGTTTATGGGCCAGGCCCAAATCCGAGGCCATGTTTTTTAAGTATTAGTAATAATATTAGATAATTTGATTGAGTTTATTTCGGTTAATTTGATTTTTTATATTAAATCAATTTATCATTAAGTTAATTTTATTGATAAGTTAGTTACTAGTTATTAAAATTCATAATTAAATTTATTGATTTAATATATGTTATTTTTATTTATTTTAAATAATTTATTTGAAAATTAGTCGATTGATTAATATAATTGAACATTTCGATCCATGTTAATTTGGATTGATTCAACCAATGATGACTATAAAAGTTGATTGTTAATATTACAAAAATCAGATCAAAAGTTAAATTAATTAAATTTTTTATTTTTGATTCAATTTTTTTATTTGTTTGTGTTACGATTCAATATTAAATTAATACATATAGATAGAACTCTTGTCAACAAATATGTTTCATTATGAGTAAAAACTAAAATAATAGAGAAAACTGCTAAACTAAAATGATAGCAACTACTAAAGCGTTCCCTTGCCCCCCAAGCGATCGTTCCATTATTAATTGTAAAAGAAAATAATAATAGCGGTGTTTTTCAAAGGAGATAAAGTTGCAGTATGCAGTAAAGAAGAAGGGTTCTTGGGTTCATACTATGAAGCCACAGCGTTATCCCCACATAAGAGCCATTAATGGCGGCCAGAATGAAAATACAAGTGCAAAAGATCGAATCCAGGAAAGCTGTGATCCGGTGACAGTGATGAAAAGAGACACGCATGGGGGATTTAGAACAGGATTTGAAGGGGAAAACTAAACCAGAAATAAGAGTTTGTTGAAGAACGTGAGATGAAGATTGAAGTGGGTCTAAATTGTGTGTGTATATACATTTGAAAGGTCTAAATTGTGTATTATATAAATATAAACATTTACAACTAAATCTGCAACACTTTTCATTGTAAGAGAAGTTGCTCCTTCAGGTGGAATTATATATTGACGCTCTTTACTTTTATTGAAAATTATATGTTCCGTCGTCGGAATGCAAATCCGGAAGGAAAACGATCACGCACACTGCAATGAGGCCTAACGAAAAATGGGGGCAGGTGTGGAGATGATTCTAATATCCAAACAAGTACTCCATGACTTTGTTACCTAATGATTTTGCGGGGCTTGCCAAAGGACCTCCCGACTGTCGCGCATTGTCATTGCCATTTTGAAGATGGTATGGGCGGGGTGGCCGGAAGTTGTTCAGCTCTGATGTTCTACTTGATGTTGAGGGAAGTCATGAAATCCTGATTATTCAATCTTTCATTTAAAGCCTCGCGTTGCATCGGATCCACCGGCTTCACACCAACAATTAGTACACCATTTATTTGCATAATTGCATCCCATTCTTGCCAAGTGCCCTCAGAGCATCGGATCGTTTCTACACCAGATGGAAAGCAGTCATTGCAATGCATTAGTTTTAACATCAAAAAAATATGATTTCATCATGAAACTATATTATATCATACATCTCCTTTCAGTTCAGCTAATCCAACAGAAGTCAAGACTTTCCCATACGACAGGGCATATATCACAGAAGATACACGGAAAAAGAAACCAGTCCTCAGCCTCAAAATGGATAACACAAGACAAGATTTCAATAACCCACACTCTAGAAGCTAAACAAAACATATGAATGCAATTGAAAGATCACAGCCCATCTGTTGACAAACAATTTTTATCAAGTTCGGGTTTCAGAAAAAAGTTCATTAAAAATATTCAGCTTATAACTAGAGACCGACTTGAACGTGTAAGAAAATGTACGTTTATTATTCAACTAATGTTTTATAACTCATAGATGTTACCATGTCATGGTTATAAAAGATCAATCTATTTTTTATATAATTTTTTCAGCAAGCAACTTTTATATTTATCTCTGAAACTGGTTACCTTCTTCTTAGACAAATACAGAAAACAGCATGAACTGCAAAAAAGGAATCAAAAGAGAGATAACCAGGGCACATACTACTCATCACAAAAGAATATTACAGATATCACTAATACTCATCACTATAGAACATTACTGATAACACGGAAGAACTAAATAGCAGATAGAAATCAGGATGGGATAGGGAGAGAAGATTCACCGAATAAAGAATGCGCATCCAGTTAGCATCCCTTGGATCAGGAGCATGTTTCAATATCACACCACACTTTTCAAATTCTAGTAAAACTAGATTTGTATCATCTAGAGAGAATCTAGAAAGAAAGCAAATAGTGAAGTCATAGGTCATGCATACATATAACAGAAAAACACCATGACATTAACCCAAACATTTAGGTTCCACACTCTAATTAACAAAAACTGACAAACATTGAAATGGATATAATCGCCAAGAATGAAAAAGTTAAAATTACAGCTGAGATATTAGAAGGTTATAGATTGTAGATAGACAGTATCAGACAAAAGATATAAAAGGTTACAGGCTGCATTATCGCACATAAAGAAACCAAGAAAGAAGTTTCTGTATTTTGAACATATTAAACGAAACCATATTAGCAATTATTTAAAACATTTAAGCAGATAACAACCAAATTTTGGAGAATTAAATAAGGATAAAATGGGACTGCAGATAATGATCGATGAAGTAATAAAAGCAGAAGTTACTCAAGAAAAATGAGGCCACATTACAGATAAATCACAACTGATTGCTAGTAGACAACTAGACAATATGTCAACTATTAAGTAGAGCATGAAAGCATGGAGCATTCCAATAGACAGTAACCCAATCTTCCTCATCTAGATTTTCAGCAGGTACAGAATTATTCTGTATCTCTGGCATGGCAACTTGCCTCTGGCGGAAGTGTGATCAAAGAACCAGGCTGAACCATGCCCACAACAGGAGAGCCCTTTCCCTTGTCATCCTGCTCACTGCCACTTGCCTTGGGTGACCACCAACTCAAGCTCGCTGCACCCTGCTGACTCTGATGTCCGTTAAGTACAGCTAATAAAGTGCTGGCCCCTGATTTGCTCTTTGCAGGCATAGAGAAGTCACTTCCAGAGCTTTGGACCGGAGTTCTTGGATCTGACTTGATTTCAGTAGAAATAGGATAATCCAATCCCCTGGATTCAGGCGAAAAATCTGCACGGTCCTCCAAGGTGTACATAGGAGGAGGTGGAAGATTCGAGCCACCGGAATTCTCTCGCCTTAAAGCCGAGACTGCTGCTGCTTGACCTGGACTAAAGAATTTCCCTTGCCTGGAAGAGACCGGTGATGCCAAGTCTTGGAAAAACAACGATTGTCTCCCCGATTTCGGAGTTCTATTAATCACAGTGCTCATTTCTTTCCAAGAAATGAAAACGTGATAAAGATTCCTATATACATAATTACAAATCATATCATTAGCTTTATCAAAACCGGACGGGTAACTTATCTAACCTATGCACCATTAAATTTCAATAAGCTAAAAAAACCCAACAATTTTAAGATAACCAACAGAATGACTATCAACAAATGATAACTTTAACAGCTTCCAGTTCCACCCATATTGTTTCCCGAATAATCAAAGGAACGAAACACACATATATATATATATATATGCACACTACATATGCCCACTAAGCTATACAATACTCTGAAGGAGAAGCTGGAAATCCTGCTACGACGGTACTCCACAAATTGCTCAGTTACTAACCTGCTAACGGAAAACATCCGAAGGCTGAGCTTACAAAGCCCAACAGTATAATCGCTAATCTAGAGCAGAATTATGAGTTACATAAACATAAGAATGCTAAAGACATGGTACTAAGCAGTAGGTACATGCATGATCTTGATCAAGTGCTACCTACTTAGGGTTTAAATGTTCTATCACTGGTGTGGGCGTGTGAGTCTCACGCTTCCCTTAATCCTATGTTAAGGGCCTCGCCATGAGTATACCACTAAAGGGTCTCTAACACTAATGATTGTAACTGATACGCATTATTTGAATGCGATATTGATTCTACTATGCATTATCTGAATGCAATACTAACTCTACTATGCATTATATGAATGACATACTGACTAATATATGGTCTCACATAGCCATCAAATACTAATTAACAAAGGGAACCCGATGTCACATAGCATCGATATAATTCCCACTAGTTGTTGAATGGTATTTTGATCCTCACATAGCCATCATGTAGATCATTGAGCGGGAACCCAATGTCACATAGAAATCAATAATTCCCACTCTATTGAAGCATTGGCTCGGTCTCAAACTGTCATCAAGCTAAACTTTAAGGATTCTATTGTACTGGACTGATGCGATTATACATACATACCTAAGGCCTAAAGGCCACACAACACTGACATTAACCCACTCCTCGTGAGTGTTCGAGTATCGGGCCCTAGTTAGCTCCTAAAGCGCCTCACGCACTGACAATGCCCCACTAGGGCAACTAAGGTAATCTGACTATACCCTAGTATAACTCAACACTAAAGTGAGGTTAACCCCTCACTAGTTGTTATTTCGCTCGTTCTCTCATCTACAACGTTATGTGAAGGTTTATTAGTCTATTATTATTGTTAATTATTAAATTGTTCTATTATGGTCATTCGTTGCTTAAAGGTTTTTTAGTTATTTCTGTCTCTATAGAAGTCTCTACGCGTTTTATGAGTTCACGACGATTACTATGATGATTGTTTGATGTATGTAACAATGGTTGACCCAAGAACTGGCTCGGGTTTCAAGATTAGGTAGCGACTGCCAAATCCCTCCTACTACACTTTCTCTCAATTCACCCTCGAATTAGAGGGACAACTGTATGTTCACCATTCACTGACATTCTTACTATACACAACTTAATTATTTTGTAATATGTTTATCTCATCATATCACTCGCCAATACATCCTCTATAATGATCTTTGATCCTAGATACTCGCTACGTGCTCGGATGGAAGTAC